TGGTGCTGCCAGCAAGACAATATTCACATCATACGCCTCTACCAATGCCTTCTCGCCAAGCACCTCTTTCTTTTTCCGGGCTTAGGAATCTCGCAGCACTTACACTTTCGATAAGGCCTTTCTTCAGCAAAATGACGTATTTCGTACGTGGTACGTTCCTTACGTAGGTAAAGCCATTTAAAAACAGGTAATGGGGACAAGAGCTTGAGACTCTTCGTCAATTAGTTCGCGATCAGATACTTGCTTGGTATCAGAGGTGGTCACTTCTTACCACTTTTGTTGAAAGAGAGAGCTAGCCAAGTAGAGCTCAGGATGTCAGCAGTTTCACTGTATCACAAGAAGAAAACAGATTTTTACTATGTGAAAACGCTTTCTACCATGATTTTAAACTATAGTGATAAAGGCTGTGGCAGTAAGTAGACAACTTACATTATATGATGCTTTTTTATCAAGGGTGTAACTTGGGTTAGATAACTCGAACCTATTTCAAGCTCGTTTTATTTTTCATAGGCTTGGACAATTATTTTTACAAATAGGGTCAGGTTTGGGTTGAAAAATTTTAACCCGAATTTAATTAGGATTGGGTTTGGGCTGAGGTACTAGCAACCCGAACAAACCCGAACCCGAATTTTGATATTATTTTCATATATATTTTTAATTTTAAATACATTGTATATAATATTTAAATTACGATTATTTATTTTTTATTTTTCAACTTTATTGATTAAATTTTAACTTATTGTATGTTAACATTTAAGATAATTAATTTTTTTATAATTTATTCAAAATTTATAAAATGTCTTTACATTTTTTTTTTTTTAAAAAAAAGATTAATTTAATCTAAAACTAATTCAAAATGATATTAAAATTTTGTTGTGAAGATTAGCTGTATGATTAATTCGAATTCACTCCAATTTTTAATATGGAATTTTAGTTGGAGTTGCAAACCTGAATTTAAAAGTAAAATGATGGATTGGGCTCGGATTAAGTAGTTAAGGTTGAAGATAGAGTTGGATTGAGCTTTGGTTTAGCATTTCATATAGTGGGTTAAACTCAAATTATATCTCAAACCCGCCCAAATTGCAACCTTACTTTTTATTGGATAAAGATCCAATTGATAGTGGTGTGCCAGACTCTGACTCATCCAATACCTCATTCCAGTGATGGATACTTTAATTTAATTTTTATATTATATCTTGAGTAATGACAGGGGAATCGAAAAAGAATTACCGAATTAACACCGTATCTAACGTGGATGGTTATATTTGTCATTTGTTAAATAATTATTTTTTAAAAATTGTTTAAGTAAATGAAGTGAACAACAAACACGTCAGATTCGATATTTATTCGAAGTTAATTCTTCGGTCTCCCTATCATTATCTTTCATGGAGTGAATTTGGTTAGAGTTTTCATTTGTTTACGCACCCACGCGCGGTCAATTTTAGTTCACACACACACGGTCAATTTTAGTTGTTCATGATGAGGGAGTATTGAAGTGACAAATAGGTGAGAAGAGGAGAGACACAAACTAGAAGAACACCACAAGGACTAAAGGGCTTTGTATTTTTAACCAGATCAAGCAGTACCCAAGAAAACTACAAATACTTTCAGTTACTCAAGACCACCAAACATGCCACCGAAAATCAGCAGCCGACTTACACAGTGTGCCACCCTTTCACACTCTCTAGGAACCCAATCCAAACTTGAAACTACATTTTTTTTTTTTTTTTTGTTTTGAAAGGTAAAGCAATTGTATATATTGTATGAATTGCACAAGGTCCAAGCTGAAAGATTACTAAGGTGGCCGAATGAAAATTAAACCACTCACAACAGGGCAAACATGACCTAACCCAACTAATGACCTACCCGGGCCTAGCCCCAACACAGCATTGCCATTGATAATGCCCAATGCTGACATAATCAATAGATATAGCATACAATTTGGTGGTCTAAGGTGACGAGGGAGAGTTTCCCACTCAGCCAGAAGATCAGAGGACACTTCATTCTGCAAAATAAATTATATGAGAGCCAAAGATAGAATCTTAGAGAGAGAGAGAGAGATGGGATCATGATCCAGAGAGAATTTTATAGGGAGAGGATGAGGCAGGAATTTTTTTCCTTGCCTAGGTCTTATAGACAATGGATGAAATATAACGAAATGCAAAAAAATGTACTTCTTCACGTGCAAAATGGACCAAGGTGAGTAGCACAGGAATCTTATTCAATGCAATGTTAAAAACTCAGTCAAAATGTGAAGTTGAATACGACCCCACGTAATTCTTTATAAATATGATTTAAATATAATTTTTCATATTTTTTTATAAAACGATGAATATGAGCGGGTTAACGAGTTAGAAACTATTTTGACACCCTTTATCAAAAGGACTTCGAAGAATTTACTGTTTGACAATCACACAATGTCCACTGCTTTATAGCCCCAATTATGCAACAAAGCCAAACCTTCCCTCATATAACCACCATGTCATTTTGGTCCTCGTCAATTGATAGCTTAATGTATCCTTTTCATGTCAACTTTAATTTTGTCCCATACAAGCCATGCATTTAATGGACAATACTTGCATCCAACTCAAGTTGGATGAAATTTGCCCAACCTGAATACATGGTCGAATCATATAGTCACATATGTCCACAATTAGTATTAAATTAAATTGGGCATTGCCCACCAATTTTCGGTCAATTTCTGGTATAACCCGTTTTTTTTCTTTTTCTTTTCCTTCTCATCTGATCTGCACCTTCTTCTTCCTCCTTTGATCTGGAGCCCTTCCCTCTCTCTCTCTCTCTAATCTGTAGCCCATCTCCCTCCACCTACCCAACCCGTCTCCATCACCGACTACACTCTCTCTCTCCTCCGCTCTCCAAACGTTCCACCACTGCAAACCGAGAAGAGTGCTCCAACACATCCCAAACTTCTTAACCCTAACCCTAGACCCCCCTCCATCACTTTCCATAACCTCCGTCTCATTCCCATTCCCCCAATTCTCCACCACATCCGGATCAAATTCGCCTATCTCGAACTCATCCGCCATCGTCCCATTCTCATCCACAACCCCAAATCTCTACATCGACGGTGGTGGTGACAGCAGTAAGGGAGGCAGAGGCGGTGGAGATTGAGGAAGTTGTCGTGGATCCGAAATAGGGGAAACTGGAGCTAGGTTTTTATCCTTCACGATTTCAGTTTGATTGGCATTTATTAGAGATGATATATCGAAGGTTTTGTTGTGACTGGGAGAGAGAGAGAGACTGAAGGGGTTTTGAAAGTGTCGAGAGGGGTTTGGCTGAAGTTGAAGAAGATGATCTGTTAATAGCCATCGGACCACTGCAAATTTTTGGAGAGATGAGAGAGTAAAAAATGGGTTATACTCAAAAATTAATGGGCAATACCCAATTTAATTTAATACTAATTGTGGACACGTGTCGTCATATGATTGAGCCATGTACTCAGATTAGACACATCCAATCTGAATTGGATGCAAGTATTGTCCATATTTAATCATTTCCTCCACAAAGTTGATATGTCATGTTGATGATTTATTTATTTTATGTTTTTTTCAAATGGTAAAAGGTAGTTATGAGTGGATTCTATAACATACAACACTGTTCCAAAATGCTCCGGAGACCGGAGTACAACCAAAGCATACAAGATATGATAATAATAAGGAATTATTATGGTGGCAAAAGTTAACAGAACATGTCAATACAACTCAAACATAATACGAGTTAAACAGATTCGGATCATAAACGGGTCAACATAATTAATTCGTTTAGTTAATCATGTCGTATTTGGGTTGAAGGGTTCAACCGATATAACCCGTTTAACTATATATGTCTTAAATAAATTTCTATTTAAGTTCTAAAATTACTATATAAATTTGTGTCTTATAATTTAATTTTTTGTAAACTATAAACTATTTAGTAATTGGTTGATTAAAATTTATATTTTTTTTAGTACTTATTATTTTATTGAATATTATTAATAATTTAAATAAATTTTTTTTTTTTCGTAAATAAGTCATTAAACGGGTTACACGTCGGGTTAGTGTTAAGAGTTCCTGACAAAATTATTAAACGAATCGTATTCGAATATTATTTAGTATAATATTCTTAAATTTATACGATTACCACTTACGAACACGAATTGTGATCTCTAAAAATTATCAACAGGAAAACTTATACACAAACTCTTGCCTAAAGTTCCTTTTACTGTACACTCTCTTACCCATCAATCCTCACAAAGCTGCCCCCAATCTAGGTTACACCTCTCTCAACGATAAGTTAGGTCCCTCTTTATAGCGACCTAAACTCAATTTGTTGATGCATAACAATTATAATTAATTCATTGAAATCCAAAACTTGTCCAATAATAAATTATCTTACAATATAAACATTAAAATTAGATAATAATTTGAAAAACAATTCTTAACAATAAGAAGGACATCATAGTCTTTCTTCTTTACAATAAAATTACGAGTGACAAAACAAATTTAAAACCCAATTCCTAAACAGAAGATTATCTTTGTCCTTTCTTCTTTTGGATAGAATCGTGACTCGTAAGCGTGTGGCAACGTGATTGTTACACCTAAAATTATTAAATCACTATTCCAAATATGGCAGGTAGCTTTCATCCCGCTGGAGTTGTGAGAAGAAAAAACACACTAGAAGTCTAAAACTCTCACACACCGTTTTCCTTTCGCTTTCAGCCTCAATTTCTCCCTCTTCTTCTTTCCTTACTCTGGAAGCCCATCCTCTTCCATCATGTTCCAAAACCCATCATCACTCTCTACCTTACTAGTCTCTGCACTCTCACTCATCTTCTCCAACGAGCTAAGCTCTTCATTTTCTCGTCGTGGTTCCGAGGTTTGTCCGTGTGTATAATCTGACAATGGGAAGTTAAGCTTGGCTTTGGCCCCGCGGAACTCAATGGCCGCCTTGTCATAAGCCCGAGCTGCCGCCTCCCCAGTCTCGAACGTGCCAAGCCACACTCAGGTTGCTCTCTTGGGGTCTTGGATCTCCGCAGCCCACTTCCCCCGCGGCCTCTGTCGGGCTCCCCTGTACTTCTCCTTCTTCTTCTCAGTCTTACTCTGTTCTTCATTATTTGGCGGGAATAAGTTGGTCACAGTTGGTGAAGATTGGAGGGCTTGTAGAAGCCGGGTGCGATTGGGATCATCACTATCACCGCCGGTGATGACGTGCTTGAGAGCTGAGACCATGATGGAGTTTTCTTGGTCTCGGGTCAAATGAGAAGAAGAGGAGACCATTTCCAAGTAATTTTTTTGCTAGAAAAACTGGCCTAGAATGTATGTGTGAGGATTTCATATGTCCATTTACTTATATACGTTGAGTGAGCGCATTTGAGACTCGGGTTCAACATAGGATTTGGAAAACTTGGAGTTCAGAGAGTGACAGCATGGAAAAACGGCGACACATAGGACGGTAGGTCAAGGCTAAGCATATTGGACTTCTAAGATATTTCTGAGCTTCAAATGTCAAACAGACTGAAAACTGCTCATAGGTTCCATCAAGGTAGCATGATGTAGCTGCTTACGCGTCCTGTTGTTTTGATTCGTCTTATTCCTTTCTGTCAGATCAGACGTCAGCCTAGAAGCCAAGAAACTGCCTTGAAACAGAAGAGGGAGCCGGAGGCTTCCTCTTTCTTCTTTGCCCTCATTGGTGGGGGTCTCCAGGTCGTGTGTGGTAAAAGGTAAGGCGCAGTATGTCCACTACGCAAATAGTCATCCTCATCTCGCCTCCCATTAGTTATAACTGGGCGTGTTCATCCTGTAAGGGCTTTTCCGCTTTCAAGACCAAAGTCAACGGAGAGCGCTCTTCTCGCACGTCAAACCAGCAATTCGTACAGATCATCGGTCTGCGGCAAAGCCTCAGGAGTCCATTAGTAGATGTTAACCTTGAACCTGAAAGGTTCAAAGGAGGACTCTTGCCCCTTCATCATTTCAGTTTCTAGCCCTCTTTCAAGTCCAATATGCTTAGCCTTTACCTACCGGTTTCCTTTCGCTTTCAGCCTCAATTTCTCCCTCTCTAATGGTTGGACCCATCTATGCGTAAATCCTCGTTTTCAGCCTTTCTCTGCCCAGTCAGCCCATCTGCCGGTATTGAGACCGCAAATCTTGGATGTAAGTTAGAACCTCTTCAGTCAAATTTAGAAGAAATAGGATATGACTGGGAACCTATTCTTTCTCATTCCAGCCCTTATGTTGGATGTGTTTAAAGCAGGGACGGCCGCTTGATATTATTTGAGGCCTTAGGCCTTCTTATGTCTAATATATGAATATAATATTAATAATTTTTATTCAAGGAAACTTAAAATATTATTTGAATTTTTAATTTTAGAAATAGTAATTTAATTTTGGAGGCAATGTGCGTGAGAGTTCAAAATAAATATAATGTTATAATAATTATTTAAAATGATTTTATTTTGTAACCAGGTGAGAGTTCAAAAGAAATAGTTTAAGGTAGGATAGTTATTGATATGCAAGATAATCTAAAAATTTACTCTGTAAAACTTTTCTAATTTTAAAGAAACCTTAGTTATATTTATTTAGTAATTAATACATTGAATGAAACATAATTAATATATTAACAAAAAGTTGGGGCCTCATCTCTTTTCTTTATTGGAGCGCAACTTGTTTTTGTATTCATCAATATAATATAATAGAAATTGCATTATTTGGTAATAAATATATTAAAGGAAACATAATTAATATGGTAAGAAAAATATAGGGCCTCTTCTTCCAATTGGGGCCTAAGGCGGCCGCCTTATTCACCTTATGGTTGAGCCGGCCCTAGTTTAAAGGGGTACGCAGAGAAAGAAGGCTTTTCTATATCACTCTCGAAACGAATACACTGTACTGTTACTGTATATATTTAGAGAAATGGGTGAAGAGACTCATTCTTCTTTGATATCGAGGCTTAAACTTCTTAGATTGTTGCAGAATACAAATCAAGTATTTTGAATAGCTTCCTACACCTTCGAATACCAAACATAAGGAAAGAAGAAGGGCCTCGATATGGGCAGTAAGTATTGTGAGTTGTGTAACGAAAGATTGCTTGCGTAGAAAGTTTTGTATTTTAAAAACATATCTGTGTCTTTCTAACTTAACTTAGTTTAACAATTAATCAATTAATCTCATGTAAGATAAAATAAAGTAAAGTAATACAGTTAGAGATGACACCAAGATTTTTAGCGAGGAAATCTCAATTAATAAAATAGACCAACTGTTTGCATAGAGAAAGCCTCATGGACTGTGCAGTCCAAAGTAAACCGATCACATACTATATTTAAAGCAAAGTGTAATGGACTTTGACCCAAACTCACACTCTATCGTTCTATTAAACACAAATCGCTGACAATCCTTGGGCTTTGCGACATCTCGTCCAACAGTTCTGGACCTCAGGCTTACTCTTGATCTCTGTAGAAGGATCACTGGTAGATGAAACAGCACTCCTCGAAACTTTACTCTTGATCAAAGTGTAATCGCTTTACCTCTGTTCTTCAATATATGAATTTAATGTAGAAGAAGTAAATAATCTTTTTCTAATCTTTGTGGATGCAAGATTCAAAATACTTTGATCACGATCAGAATTTGAACAACATTCTAAACTCATGACTATTGTGTTTATGTGCGTGTTCTAGAATGAAAGATAGAAAAATCAACTTTGATTTTCTGCAAAAGTATTTCTCTAATAGGCTGTTAAGAAATCTGGAGTTGTAGTGCAAAAGTCGTGTCAACCTAAATGAATATCAAGGTTTATATAGAATTTTCAAAGACCTAGATATATATAAGAAAAGGTAATTTCCGTGCATAGGACTTTTGATAGTATTCTAAACCAAATAGGAAGAAAAATTAGAACAGGAAACTAAGTTACTAAATCTTGCTAAAAGCCTTGAACCAGTTCAAAAAAGGCTGAACCAGTTCAAGATGGCCAGTTAAAATTCGAAGCAATTTGTTTGATTCTTGAACCGGTTCAAGATGGCCAGTCTTGAACAATGAAGGCCAAACACCAGTTGTGGTAAGTTGCAAAACTTATACCAAGTATGAAAAGTGTCCTAACTTCAAAATTCATCTTCCTAATCTGTTGTTCTTTCCTTTTTCATAGATCTCAGTATATCGAACTTAAACAATTTTTAATTCTGCAGCCAATCTCGATCTCGAATTTTGAACTTGAAATTACAACTCGATCGAATTTATTTTGCCATCGAAATTTGCCAATTACAAAAATTATATCTCACAATCTCCCCCTTTGGCAATTTCGTGACAAAACTCTAAAAACAATATATAATCTACCCAAGTGATAGGCGTATATTTATAGACTTGTCGTTGTCAAATACACTCTACACAAAATTAAATCCTACAACCACTTAACTAAAATTGTCTAATGGTAAGTAAGATTGAACCACGCATTTAAATGAGTCTTTGTTTTGGAAAATGAGATTTAAAACATTGATTTTGAAGTTTGTCACTATCTACTAAAATAAAATTATTATTAATAAAAAGTAACTCAAGTAATAGTGAATTAAACACTAACAAAGAATTATTCAGAGCAATAAAAGAGCAAGGAATTACATGCTATAAAGTGTAAACAACTCATAGTAAGAAAATTAAATAACAATAGAACAACAATGCATTAATTTAGAAGAAGAAAAATACAACTTGAACGAGAAGAAAAACTCTTAGACAATCTAATATGTTAATTGGATCTTATCTCTACACACTCTGTTTTGTGCAAAAGGGTCTCATATTTATAGCCGGATGAACAACACAAGTAGTGTGTGGATCCACTTGCCTATTCCAACTTCTTCCATCATAGGCCACTCATTTTCATTGCCTAATTTGACATTTTACTTTCTAACATTTTCATTACCTTATTTGACATTTTACTTTCTAACCACTTACCTTATAAAGAGATGGAAAGAGGCAGATTGTGTGGAGTGTAAGAGAATACTTTCTAAATACAAAGAACAATTTCTTGCATCTTCAATAAGCCTTGACCCAATTTTACCTATTTGACTCAAATTCACCTCTTTTTCTTCACTAAAATTATCTCACATTACAGGTGACTTTTCATTTCTCAGTAGGTTCGATCGATCACACTAGTGCTCTGATCGACAAGATCACGATCGATCCAATGTAATGATCGATCCAACTTGGATCGATCACATTTGGAATCTTCAATCTTCAAAACCCTAAAAGCCGCCACAAGGTAGGAGAATCAAGAGAGAAGAGCGATTTCGAACTTGAAACCTCTTGAATGATAATTTGCACAACACACCAACTTTCCTACAATGCTCTTTGTGTACATTTTTTGTTATAAATAAGTATAATCGTCCTTTTGCAGCCAATTCTTCACTTATTTTCCATTTTTGTTTCTTTCTTTTTCTTTTTTTTTTTCATTATGAAATTATGCCTACAAAATATAAAAACCAAATATAAGAACACAAAAATAATATAAAGACTAATTAAATATTTATTTTTGGTGCATAAAATAATGGTTTTTGTGTACTTATCACCAAGTAGAAAAAGCAAATTACAATTTTGTCAAAGGACACATAATTTCTGCAATTTCTTCTCTGTTCTCTTCACTTCTTGGATAAAATATTTTACTTGATTTCCTGCACATAATCAAGCAAAACTACCGGTAAAAGTTTAATAAAAGTAATTTTATAAAACTCCCTAGACTCCCCCTTAAGAAAGTATCCACTGTTCTCCCCTTTTTGGAACAAATTGACAACGTTAACAATTTATAGAGCAGAGAAAATAGAGAGAAACAGTTTAAAACAGTTAAACATGTCATTTAGCCAAAAAAGATAATAATATCTAAAAAATAATGACAATGTCAACAAAATATGATGTCATGATGCATGATTAGAGAACAAAATATCAAGCATGAGTATCTCCCAAAAATATAGTCAGAAGAATATCAATAAAAAAGAAAAAGGAACCAGTCTCTACAACCTACCCTCTATAAAGAGATTTCATCCGCGAAATCAGGGCACATCCCAAAGAAAACCAAACTAGGACCAACACACAAGGTCACACTTAGGGACAAATCATCAAGTCTCAAAGGACAACTCCCAAAATCATAAGATCAAACGAGGGAAAATAGAACTACCGAATCATGAAACACATCTCCAATCAAATCAACACACAAATCCAATGACAATCACTGAAAAAACTCAAGACAACAACACATCGAATCAAGGTACCTAACTAAAAGCAGCATGTCATAATGAATAGCGACTAGAACCCGCCCACAACGTACTCAAATGTATGGTAGCATTGATAGTGTCTAGTGCCTTCCCATACATACTCGTCAGTAAGGTAACATCGTCGGAAACTAGCACCCATCCATGGCACACAATTTCGTATAATAGCATGACAATATATAGTCCTAAGTTTAATTAAAACTTCTCGATACAAATAACATCAATGACACAAAATAATCATTGCCAAAAGAGCACACTACGGTAATCTGACATTATGTAAGAGTTGGGGTATGATCCAAAGACGTCTGACCAAATCATCTTGCCCAATCCAAAAACTCTAGCAAAAATACCATCGGACACCGTTATGCATAAAACTTCAAATCCTTAATATAAAGAAAATCGACAACTCATATATCATAGAAGCTTTGTCTAGGATAGAAGTCTTAACAATAAGAAGGATATCATGGTCTTTCTTCTCTAGGATAGAATTCCGAGTTAGTGACAATTTGAAGCACAATTCCTAACAAGAAGATTTTCTTTGTCTTCTCTTCTTTTGGATAGAATCACGCGTGTGCGGCGAATTTGAGATACATTCCCCAACACCAATGATATCTTTTTCTTTCTTTTTTTTTCTTTTTTTTTTTTTCTTTTTTATCCTGAATAGTATCACAATTGAGTGGCAGCGGGTTAAGGTACGTGGCTTACCAAATAACTCCCAAAGATCTTATCCTCTTCCTCAAATCTGTCCAACAAGTTTGGACAATATTATCACAGTCACATCAAGTCCTCCAAAACTAAGTAAGATTGTTGTACCTGAAATTATTAAATCACTATTCCAAATATATATATATATATATATATAGGCATCAGAATCTATCCCATTAAGCAGTAGCTTACATCCAGCTCGGGTGGTAAAGAAAAAACACACTCACTCCATCCTGCATGTAAAATTAAGAAATCAAACTCACAAAAGTTAACCATTAAAAAACTACGATCCGGTTCCGAAACAGTACTGATTATAGTGGAGGAAAATCCATAGTCGTCCACTCTAGAAGCCCTTCCTCTTCCATCATGTTCCAAAACCCATCATCACTCTCTTCCTTACTAGTCTCTGCACTCTCACTCTTCTTCTCCAACGAGTTGGCTCTAAGCTCTTCATTTTCTCGTTGTGGTTCCGAGGTTTGTCCATCTGTATAATCTGACAATGGGAAGTTAAGCTTGGCTTTGGCTCCGTGCGACTCAATGGCCGCCTTGTCATAAGCCCGAGCTGCCGCCTCCCCAGTCTCGAACGTGCCAAGCCACACTCGGTTTGCTCTCTTGGGGTCTCGGATCTCCGCAGCCCACTTCCCCCACGGCCTCTTTCGGGCTCCCCTGTACTTCTCCTTCTTCTTCTCAGTCTTACTCTGTTCTTCATTATTTGGCGAGAATAAGTTGGTCACAGTTGGGGAAGATTGGAGGGCTTGTAGCAGCCGGGTGCCATTGGGATCATCACTATCAAGGCCGGTGATGACGTGCTTGAGAGCTGAGACCATGATGGAGTGTTCTTGGTCTCCGGTAAAATGAGAAGAAGAGGAGGCCATTTCTGATTGAATTTGGTCTGGTTGAGGGTTCGTAGAGAATGGTATGCGTGAGGATTTCACATGTCTATTTACTTTATACACGTTGAGTCAAGTGAGTGAGTGTGGACGTGGCATCCAGATGTACGCAGTTGGGACACGGGTTCAACGTGGGAATTGGAAAACTTCGGGTTCAGAGAGTAACAGCATGGAAAAACGGCGCCACATAGGACGGTAGGTCAAGGCTAATCATATTGACTTGTAAGATTTTCAGAGCGTCTGAAAAAGGATGTCATTGTCGTATTATACAGTTGACATTCCAGTGAGACTTTCTTTTTGGAAGGTTCTAGTGAGACTTTTGTTCCTACTCATGCACAGGGCCAATAATTCATTCGATTTGGCTCATCAGTTGTCTATTTTTCTTTTTTTTCCTGGTCGGTTTGTCCCTTCAAATATTTTTTTTTCTTAGGAAGCTCACACATCCAAAGGAGTCGAACTTTGGCCATCTTTCATGAGGCACCAAGAATCGAATGAGTTATTTATTTTTGTCAATTTATCGAGTTGTGTCTAATTTGTCTTTTAAACACTTTTTGAGGGTTATGACAGCGACTAAATCGAGTGAGATTTTGAGCTTTAAAAATCGGTTGGATGACACACATGCGATAATGAATAAAAAGACTCACTCGATTTTGTTGTTCCATTTTTTATTTCGTCACAAATAGCAAAATTAATTCGTTCATTACTATTTTTTTTATTTGGTAACTGGTAAGCCTGTATTGAATAGAAAGAATTAATGTCCAAAGAAAAAGAAACAAGAACAAAACACAACAAAGCACCACTAGGACCAACCAAGAGCCATCATGCATTATTGTCACAAAATATGAAGCACTCAAAAAAGTACATCTTTTTCAATTGTTAATTTGAATAAAATGTCTCTTATTTGCATAGATGGTGGAGAAAAAAATGTCTCTTATTTGCATAAATTCTATTCTTAAATAGAGAAAAAGTTCTTATAAAATCTGATCCAAAATAACATGTTATCACCTTATGCGTCGTAATAATACTTCGTACACTACTCCTATTCAATCTGCTCAACCATCCATGACAACAACCACAACCACATGTAACACAAATAATTCACGTTCACAATGGCACAAATTAATAACCAATGCGACATTAACAACAAACAACAATTACTTGCTACTCGGGTAGATTTGAAATGTATATACTAGGTTTTGGATTGCATTTTGAATAATTTATACTCGTTTTTCAGTTTTTGTGAAGTGTTTATTTAAGCATGATATCTTAGAGATTCACTATAAGTGGAAGGTTAGAATTTAAATATTCAATAAATTAAATGAATGTTGAGGTGACTTCCTATATATTTTTTTTCTTTGAAAAATAAAAATAAAAATAAAAATTTTGAATCGAGTTTATAATTCAGATAATAACTAAATGAACTAAGGTTTAGCTCGATATTTTATGCGATTATGGTCTCTTTTTTTTTTTTTTTACTACGGTTAGTGTTTGTTTATGTTACCAAAGCGTTCCATCATTTGGATATGAAAAATATATAAAATATGAGTAATGATAAGGGAACCGAAAAGGAATCTCCGAATTAATATTGAATTTGATGTAATTGACTATACTTATCATGTGTTAAATAATTATTTTTTGGAAACAGTTTAAGAAGATGAGGTGGACAAAAATAAGTCAGATCCAGGATTTATTCGGAAAAATAATTCGGTGACCCTATCATTTTTCATAAAATATTTAACTTGTGAAATAATATGAAGTACCTGCTACACCTAAGCCTAATAGACACTGTACAACGCAAATTTTTTTGCAAAGTATTTTAGTATATTTTAAACTTATTTTGTTGTCCTAGTAAGAGGATGACTATATTTATTTGCTCGTAAGTTTTTCTATTGTATGTTGTTTTCTCAACATAATAAGATCCTTGTAAAATTGTATTCCATGAATGTAGCCCTAGTTTAGGGTAAAATATGCACGTAAAATTTGTATTTACGCATATGTGTTTGATCTTTTTATGTTAATTATTTTACAACAGGAACACCATTGAATAGCTATTTTCTATTATCTATAAAAATAATGAGTGCTCACAATAATATTCTCTCCTAACTTGGATTCAAATTTAAATATATATTAGATTTAAATTATACATTTATACTAGGATTTACACAAATTGACTTCATATCTTTTGATTTGTGCCTTACTAAAAGTGTAAAATTGTTCAAGCTATTTTTTTATTATTATTTTATAATAGAGTTTTAAGGAACACAAGTTAAATTTGGGACAATAAATAAGTGTTTTCAAAAGAAAAAATAAAATTGAGACAATTGAAATTTCCAATAACTTTTGGAAATTTCAAGTTAGATAACTATTTTTCACTGCGATAACTAAAAAATTTTATTTTTATTTTCTTCCTGACTAGTCTCTGCACTCTCACTCATCTTCTCCAACGAGTTGGCTCTAAGCTATTCATTTTCTCGTTGTGGTTCCGAGTTTTGTCCCTCTGTATAATCTGACAATGGGAAGTTAAGCTTGGCTTTGGCTCCGTGGAACTCAATGGCCGCCTTGTCATAAGCCCTAGCTGCCGCCTCCCCAGTCTCGAAAGTGCCAAGCCACACCCGGGTTGCTCTCTTGGGGTCTCGGATCTCCGCAGCCCACTTCCCCCACTGCCTCTGTCGGGCTCCCCTGTACTTCTCCTTCTTTTTCTGTCTTACTCTGCTCTTCATTATTTGGCAGGAATAAGTTGGTCACAGTTGGGTAAGATTGGAGGGCTTGTAGCAGCCGGGTGCCATTGAGATCATCACTATCACCGCCGGTGATGATGTGCTTGAGAGCTGAGACCATGATGGAGTGTTCTTGGTCTCGGGTCAAATGAGAAGAAGAGGAGGTCATTTCTGATTGAATATGGTCTGGTTGGGGGTTCGTGGAGAATTTCTAAGCTTCAATGGGGTTCATAATTTAAGTAATTTTTGCTAGAAAAACTGGCCGAGAATGGTATGCGCGAGGATTTCAAATGTCTATTTACTTATATCCGTTGAGTTGAGTGAGTGAGTGTGGACGTGGAATCCAGATGTACGCACAGTTGGGACGCGGGTTCAACGGATGGGATTTGGAAAACTTGGGGTTTGACGTAGTGACAGCATGGAAAAACGGTGCATCATACGACGGTAGGTCAAGGCTGTGGTCAAAGCGACTTGTAAGATATTTCTGAGCTTCTCTAAATGGACGGTAGGTCAAGGCTGTGGTCAAGCGACTTGTAAGATACAGTTGATATTCTAGTGAAACTTTGTTCCTCACATACATAGGGCCAATAATGCACTCGATTTGTCCCTTCAACTATTTTTTCTAATTCCTTTTTTTTTTTGGTCGGTTTGTCCCTTCAACTATTTTTTCCTTAGGATGCCGAACTTTGGCCATGACCGCACATGCATAGGGCCATTATTCACTCGATTTGGATTGCGGTTCAATATGTTTGATGAAAAAATATATATATATATATATATATATATATATATATGTTTATAAGTGATAAAGATTAGGTAAAAAAAAATGCGTTTAAATAAAGTTATGAATGGTAACTTTTTAAACTGAGTTAGATATAGAGGTTTATTTCTTTTAGGTAACTAATTTTTTTTAGAAAATGTAATCTCTATATATTTTTTAAAAATATAATTTTGTCCCTGCTAGAAATAAATACCAATCAATATCTTAGTTATTCTGGGATTCTGTAATTAACGAATATCCTAATTTATTTTAAGACTCTACAACCACCTCCCATTATATTTAAAATAAAAATAAAAAACTATACACGTTGATATTTATAAATTATTAAACTCAATGAAATTTTATAATATTAATATTAGGGAATTATCAAAATTTTAGTATAAGAGTAATATAGTAAAATTAGTAATAAAAGTGATTTAAACAACATTATTATTAAACAAATCTAAAAGTGTTTCAAGTATAAAAAATGTTTTATACAATGTATCACCAAATGTATAATTACGTTTAACTGATATCAAATTTATAACAGCTCTATTAATAAAAGAGTTTCAACATTTTAACAGCAATCTCAAATGAACTCTTAGACGTTCCATTGTTGAATTCGTCACAAATAGCAAAGTTAATTCGTTCATTGCTATTTTACCCAGACATTATTGTTACAAAATATGAAGCACTCAAACAATTACATCTTTTTCAATTGTTAATTTGAATAAAGGTAAACACACAACAATCTAAATGGTAGAGAAAAAAAAGTCTCTTTGTAATTTCTTACTTTAATGACTTCTAAAAACGTAAATTCTTAAATAGAGAAAAAGTTCTTAAAAAATCTGAATCAAAATAACAACTATTCAATCTGCTCAACCATCCATGACGACGACAACAACCACATGTAACACAAATAATTCACGTTCACAGTAGCACAAATTAATAACCAATGCAACATTGACAACAAACAACCACTAGCTACTCTGGTAGATTTGAAATGTATATACTAGGTTGGATTGCATTTTTAATAATTTATACTCGTTCTCAGTTTTTGTTTATTTAAGCATGATATCTTAGAGATTCAGTATATAAGGGGAAGGTAACAAAAGGTAAAGTGCAAAAAAATCCTTTAAATTATGTGCAAAATGTAATAAATCTAGAACTACAAAAAATGGAATTAAGCACTGAAGTAAACAGCTTGGCGGCAGAATTTTTTTGACCCTCATTACGGGCTTCTGTGCCACTTATTTTCTAAATGACAATATAACCCTTGTAATACAAAAATACCAAATTATCCATTTATTACCTTTTTAACCCACGTGCCCTATTTAGATTCCTCCAAAGTTATAAACTACTGTTCATCCCGTATTGCCCTTTGTCTTTGAATTGTCCGAGATAGAGAACAAATCTGATGTAGCCTTTGTTCCAGTGGCAGTGCACCCCACACACACACACACACATAGTCCCGACGCGACTTTTATTTCAGTTGTTAAATGTCATCTAATCACACACACACACATATATATAGTCCCGACGTGACTTTTATTTCAGTTGTTAAATGTCATCTAATGACTAAAATTAGAAACAACTATATTATTTATTTATGGTATTTTAAAACTTCAAAACCACTTAATATGGGTGTTTTAAATAAAACAAAATACCTTCTAATCAGTCAAATTTTACCGATGTTAGTATATTATTAGATAATTTAGAAGAGGATTATTTCATTATTATACAATTATTTTTTTTTCTTCAATCTTAGCATTTTTTTTTCCCATATTTTCTTCTGTACATATAGTGAAACATTTATAAATAAAAAAATGTCATTCATCAATCAGTTAAGGTGGTCTATCCAAATTACATTTAATCAAAATTTTAATGGACACCCTATTGTATTTTTCCATAATTCAGAACTTTACTGCTTAATTATAAAGTAACAAGTTGCACACTAGGGAGCAATTGAACGAGACTATATATATATATATATATATATATTATATATATATTTATAAATACAGATGGAACAAGAAGAGAGACTTAGCAAAAAAAAAATTACTCCTTTCAATTTCGTTAAGGAAGGGTTTTTATTATTATTATTATTATTATTATTATTATTATTATTTTATAATATGGAAGGACTAAGTAATTATGAATAGAGAGAAAAGAGTTAGAAAAAAAATTGTAAGTTTTCAGTCAAAAATTTTTGTACGAGGAGATATTTTTTTTGGATTCCACTACTTTCACTATTTAATATCCAAACAATTTTAGTGGAAGTATTTATTTATTTTTTTCATTATTAATACCTCATTATTAAAAAATGTTTTATTTTATTTGAAACACTCAAATTGAGTGGTTTTTGAGTCTTAAAAAACCAGAAACAAATAATATATTTGTTTTCAATTTCAATCATCGGATGAAATCCAACAACTGAAAAAGAAGTTGCGCATATTGTTCCCTGCACACTAGGGAGCAACTAAACGAGACTATATATATATATATATATATATATTTATAAATACAGATGGAGGGACCGTTATATTCTGATTGATAGACGATATACACATACACACAGAGACACAAAGAGAGGGAGGGATTAGAGAAGTTCACAGATTTTGAGAAATTAGGTTAATGTTACTGGGTGTTTGGGAATTCTTAATTATAAATTTTTTTTTTTTTGAAAGGTAATTCTCAATTATGAGTTGATTGGGTGTTTGGATCTAAAGGTCCCCGCGGCCACCACTAAACTTGCTAATGGAAGCAAAATCACATGGTTGGAAAGGAAAGAAATATGAATAGATCATCATAAACAAAATCCTATAATTATAGGTCAATATATGCACCTATTGCCATAGTTACATTGCGGGTTGTTTTGTGTGTCTATAACATCAACATCTCTTCCTCTGTGTGTGTGTATATATATATATGGGAAAGATTGGGTTTTGATCAGATTATGATTGTAGAGAGAAAATATGAAAGAGGTGATGTTGGGTGAGATTACAGCTGCCATATCATACAAGTAAGTGTATACGTGCCAAAACAACTTAGTTTTAGTGACGGGTATAATTGTCTTTTGATTTTTTTGATCAACCCAACTACCGAATTGTCCTCAATTCTAACAAATTGATAGTTCAAGAGAAGTTATTTGCAAAACCCTCATAGTTGAGAGGGAGTTTTTTACACTTTACCCTAAAACAAATGAATGTTAGGGTGACTTCCTATTTTTTTTTTTCTTCAAAAAATAAAAAGGGCAAATTACAATGACCTCTCCTAAGGTGTGGACTAATTGCAACTAAATCTGAAGTTTGTCATTTTATTGCAATGTGACTCCCTGAAGTTTTCTCTATTTTGCAATGACCTCCCCTCGGTACAAAAAATAATATTTTTATTAGAAAATTAGTTTGAAGTGACTAAAATACCCATCAACAACGTAAAAAGACGATATTACCCTTGTAATGTAAACAAATGACAATAAAATTCATGTTAAATGGACCAAACTACCCTTAAACCATAGACTCACCATTTTCTCTCTCTCTTGCCCACTTTCACCACTTTACTACTAAAACCATCACTCCTGCTAAAACCATATGTAACACCAAAATCAAATAATGTATTTTGTGTGCAAAATTCACACACACACACATCTAATACATATATGGTTACAAATTCATACAAATTCTGTCTCCTCTCCACCCACTGCGTCCGCCATCTCTCTCCTATCCACCTCATCTTCTCCACCCACCATCGTCACAACCACCACCTCTCTCCTCTCCACCTCATTTTCCACCCTTCGCTGCTGCCATGGCCATGATAGTTTGTTGATCTGTATATATTCTTTTGGTGGTTTATTTTTTGGGTTTGGCTTTGTATGTTATGTTCTCTTTCTCTACCAAATTTTTTTTTTTTTTTTTAATTTATTACTTTGTTTTTGTAGTACTTTGAATTTCAAACCCTAATTCTATTTGCCTAACAATCTATAGATTGAAGCTAATCACAATCATAATTTTGAGACTGATCTGGTTTGGCTTCGTCTCTGTGGTCGGCTCCGGCAACTTCACCAATCACCATCATCGGAAAATAAGCTCATACCGTCAGTACAGTGGGTGTCTAAATCAATCAGCGTCCCTCACCTTTCTATTCTTCTCTTTTACGGTACAGTGGGTGTCCAATTCCGGCGACGGGGTGTGATACCAGGTTCGGGATTCTTCCTCAGCCACAGTTGATTGGATCTATCGGGCGT